AGAGACCTGTGGCCTCAGATGGAGCAGACAGGTGTTTGTGAGAAAGGAGACCTGCAGCCTCAGATGGGGCAGACAGGTGATTGTGAGAAAAGAGACCTGTGGCCTCAGATGGAGCAGACAGGTGTTTGTGAGAAAGGAGACCTGCAGCCTCAGATGGGGCAGACAGGTGATTGTGAGAAAAGAGACCTGTGGCCTCAGATGGAGCAGACAGGTGTTTGTGAGAAAGGAGACACGTTGCCTCGGATGGGGCAGACAGGTGTGTCTGAGTAAGGAGACCTTGGATGGGGTAGACAGGTGTGTCTGAGTAAGGAGACCTCGGATGGGGTAGACAGGTGTATCTGAGTAAGGAGACCTCAGATGGGGTAGACAGGTGTGTCTGAGTAAGGAGGCCTCGGATGGGGTAGACAGGTGTGTCTGAGTAAGGAGGCCTCGGATGGGGTAGACAGATGTTTGTGTGAGAAAGGACACCTGCAGCCTTGGATAGGGCAGATGGGTTTATTTTGCCTTACATCCCCTCCTCCCTCTTTCAGCCAAACCAAGGCTCCTTTGGTTCGCACCAGGCTCTTTCTACCAGAGTTTTCTATGCTGATGTCTGCAGTAGCCAGTTCACCATCCCAACTCCAGCGCCTTCATGTGCCGCTCACATTAGCCCATATGTCCTGCAGGGAGCTGGAAGGCAGCCTTGCATGCTGCTTGGTTTATAGGAGAGGTGCCAAACTTCACTCTGTCCCTGGGATTGAGCAAATCACGTCGCCACCTCTTGGCTTCCCTGGGGAATCGCCATAAGCAGGGGCGTCATCTCGGGGCCCAGGTGGGTCACAGCATCCTGAACACATTCACTGATGGCCCCCGCTTACAGGGAGCAGGCAGATCACGTGTGGTGCTACGTACCACCCTGCCTCTACCCCCTCCCTCCCCCCACCCACCCCCTGCGGCTGATGGCTCACACGCACCAACATCTGCGATTCACACTTGTCTTAAGCTTCCAAGTCGGTCGGCGGCTCTCACAACCGTGATGGCTAAACTTAGCCTCCTTCCGGCACTTCTCCAACCCCCGCCCCCCCCCCCCCCCCCCCCCCCCCCCCCCCCCCCCCCCCCCACAAATGGAAATAGACAGGGGCTACAGAAAAAGCTGCAAGTCACTTGATTCCACCGCCGCTGATTAAATTTTAAATGTAAAACATCCTGATCGTTAGCATCAATCTCAGAGCACTTTGCGTCTCCTGCATGCCGGGACCCCGCTATCGACGTGCAGCAGAAAGGTGGCCGCAGCCTCTAGTGGTAAACGGGGGGTGCGGGGGGGGGAAGGCATAATCACACCCCAGACATGGCGGAAAGCAGGGGCATAGAGGAGTGTCACCCCTGCCTTTTTGGGGCCTGTCGGCTGTTTGTGTTACGGTGGCAGCGATGGAGTCGGGGCTCCTAACGACTTTGCCTGATGGTCACCTGCCTCCTCGGGGCGTTGCTACGCTCTCTCTCTCCCCCTCCCTCTCTCGATTTCTCTCTCTCCCTCTCTTTCTCTCCTTGTCATTTTGTAATGTTCCTCCTTCTCTCCTTCTGTCTCCAGAGCAGCCTCCCGTCCACCAGGGCCAGCCCCCGCTGCCCCCGGTGCCGCCGCCCCACAAGCCGCCACCCTCCGTCACCGCGCTGAACCACAACTCGCTGACCCGCCGCAGGAACCACAGCCCGGCGCCGCCGGCCGCACTGCCCGCCGAGCTGCAAACCACGCCGGAGTCCGTCCCGCTGCAGGACAGCTGGGTCCTGGGCAGCAATGCACCGCTGGAGAGCAGGTGTGGGGGGGGCGTCATGGGGGGCGGCCGGAAACACCCAGAACCCCATCAGGCAGTCTGAGGGCCCGTGGGGGGCAGGAGACACCCAGAACCCCATCAGGCAGTCTGAGGGCCCGTGGGGGGCAGGAGACACCCAGAACCCCATCAGGCAGTC